TATTTTTATATACTGTGTTCCAGCGTACTTAATTCTACACCACTGGAGCACTCTGAGGAATGTCTGTAACCCTAAAACTAACCTTCACATTAGCTTGTATTTTAATCTGGTTAGGATTTTCTAGATTCTATGGCAGACGTCATAATGTTATGCATCACTTTGGGGGTTTTCTGTAGAAACACGACCACCTACTCTGACATTGTTACCAAGTGTTTTGATTTTTCTGAGTGGAGCTCACTGTATCTACTTTTAAACACTCTAAAACAAGGGTAGTAGAATTCGGAAACACAAGGGCTGTGAAGCAAGTACAAAATATTAGCAACCAGAATTTTAATCTTCGGCCACATAATGATTTGTTTATGTTCATTGTCGATTGGATGTTGTGTTTGTAGAATTGCATTATTAGGATATTGTTATAATTTTGTAACTTTCTGATCTATTTATAACATTTCGTTTGACTATTTTTCTTGGATGGACTGCTATAATTAGGGAGTGGGGAAAAACAGAAAAACAGAGCCTAGAACACTTGGCCAGATATAGGCCTACTGAATGTGCCCCTATCATGAACTACCTTAAGTTTAAGTCACGTAGGCCCTGTGCTTTTAAGAACCTTCGGACTCAGAGTCATCGGCTGTTTTAGGAGCAGTTGAACGAACTTCGTGATTGAACAAACCATGCTGGTAGCAGTTCAACTAGCCTATGTTGACATTTCTTATAATTATTTGACTGACACCCATTTTTATCAACCCCACTGAGTTACATATACCTGTTGTTAGAATCAGAGGCTGATATTGCGGCAAGTCAAACATTTCATTATCAAAATCCTGCTTCGGTTCTTGTTTGTCTTGTGATACAGGCCTACAGACAGTCAGCGACGGTTAGTGGGTGAGATAATACGATGAATACAAAGTGACTTTCAGCCAACGAAGAAGTCTACAGTAGGTCTCATCTTACCCAATGAGTCTAACCCTCCCCCAAGCCCCATCCTAATAATATAATATAGTTTCGTTAATTTATTAAACGAAATTATAGTATTGTTTGATCGTTAATAAATGAAACAGGCCTACAGTTCTACAATAATATTAAGCAAACCAGATGGAACTATTCGAATATTTAAGAAATTATAGTAGTTGACGTTACACACATAATATACATAGGCCTATATATAATATATGCATGATGACTGAGCACACTGAAATAGAAGAGGGATACCTCTTTATATTTTAATACCTTGCGGCGGTGGATCCAATTTGGAGCACAGTAACAATAGGGACACCAGTGGCGTATCTAGGAGTCTTGAAAAGGAGGGGGAGTGGGGTTAGCATTTGAAATAGAAGGGTGGTTGAGGAGGGCTTCAATGTGGACGAGTGGGGCTCGATAATTAAGATGCGAGGGGCGCTAGGTTGCAAAATAACGGTGATATGAAGTGAATTTTATCTTTGTGGTGGTTTTTTGGTCAATGGGGAGCGACAAGTCCTTTTTTGATGAGGAGGAGGGGGAGGGGCCACGCCGTGCCCCTAGACACGCCACTGAAGGATACCATAGATATCCCAAGATAAGCGTCCTTTTGTCGAATTGCATTGGTTAACATTAACAGGTGTACATTATGTTTTATTAATGATCAAGTGAGTTGCATAGGTCCATGATTTTTTTAAATACTTGAGCGGGATTTTTTCGAACAATTTCAATGGGAAAGAGGAACGAGGAGCGAGTTTTTATTTTTAAGAAGGGAAGGGAGTCATGCGCCGTTGTGCATCTTCCAAATACGCCACTGGAGGATATATGTGGTATATATTAGGGATACCTGTCTATTTTTATATACTGTGTTCCAGCGTACTCAATTCTACACCACTGGAGCACTCTGAGGAATGTCTGTAACCCTAAAACTAACCTTCACATTAGCTTATATTTTAATCTGGTTAGGATTTTCTAGATAATATGGCAGATGTCATAGTGTTATGCATCACATTTTTGTAATTTTGATTGTTAGGGTATAATAATAACCGAAACAAAATGTTACATTTTGTGGTTTTCAAAAAGAAACTGCAATAATAACACTTGTCCTAATTATGATTTAAACATTGAAAAAATAACCAGACACTTAGCCATAGTCCTGAATATGATCCTATTGTGAACTTCAATCTCAGGCAATAGTATAGGCACTGTGATTTTAACATAAAACTCGTAGACTCAGGGATCACGGGCTGCCTATGGAGCAGTTGAACGAACTCTGTGATTGAACAAACCGTACAGGTAGCAGTTCAACTAGCATGTTCACATTTTTTATATTTATTTGACTGACACTCATTTTTATCAACCCAACTGAGTTATATGTACATTTTGCTAGCATCAAATGCTGATATTTTGTTAATAAGCATTTCACCGCTTTATCAAAATTCTGCTTCGATTCTTGTTTGCCTTGTAATCCTAGACAATAGTCAGCAAATTTACTGTAAGTACGTATGAATACAACGTGACTTTCAGCTAACGAAAACGTCTACTAGTTATCATCTTCCCCTAGTGATCCGTTGGTCCGTCTTTCCACACACCCACCCCGGCCCTGATCCCAACGATATACATCATTTCAAGTGTGATTTAAGATAGGCTCATTCAATTAATTAACAAAATTATATTTGTTGTACTTAGTTATACACGTAGTATGTACCGTATATAATATGTATATTATTTAGACATCGTAAGATGATGGGTATCGTATTACACAATACATTATTCGATACATGTTATACTGTGTTTAAAAGAGATTGTATAAACTAATGTAAACAAACACCAATTCGCATGTTGTTTTTCAAATTAATAATTTAACTATTTAAAATAGTATCAGCCAAAACATTTGCTATACAGATAAGATAATATTTATTGTTTTTTTGTTCCAAAAATTGCTTTATAAATGTGCTTTATTGACACAAGGCAATCAGTAAGTTTAAACCAAATATAATAAGACACGTAATTATAGTTAAAATCATGGTTTGAAAGCTGAAAGATGCACAGGCATGGCTAAGACATGCACAATATAGATACCTACAAGGTGAAAAATATAAGTAAAGAAATGTATGAATATACAGTGTTAAGCTTGTAGTTTTGATATATAAAAATAAATAGGTTATTGAAGTATAAAAGTTAAGATTGTTTTTATTTAAAATTCAGTTTAAAATTTCATTATAAATTTACTGTAAAAAAAACTAATGTAAGAGAATAACTTCATAATAGCACATAACGGGGTAAGTAAATATATATTGTCCCTTGAAAATGACCAAAAAAATTATAAAAAAATAATTTGAAATTAATAAATAATAAGCAAATTCTCATCATGACCTCTTATAGTAGTAAAAACATCAAAATACTTTAGGCCTAGTAGGCCTATATCGCTGAACTCAATTCTGGTGATGTCATGTAGGTGTGCCGGCAACTACAATTTTACCTAAACTAATGAGGAATGATTATGGTAAAAATAATAATCTTACGTGAAGTTGAACGAACCAAACAGAAGGGGCGATTGAAATTTATGTAATTATCGGTATTGAATTATTCTGATTAACTGTCATTGTTATCAACTGCATTGATTTATGAGTACACGGTAGATATGATAAAACGTTGATGTTGATTAAATCAAACATCACGCCACTTATCGATTAACAAAGTCCTTAAAATAGTTTATCTCGTAATTTGTACAGATGAAGACATGGTTGTTTTAGATAATACGATTGATTTGCAAAGCCACCGTCACAACAGAATCATCTTCAGTATTTACACGACCCCAAAGTTCAACAATGAATTAATAAATTCAGTTCAAGTGGTTCAAGTGACGAACCACAAGTACAAATTCTATGAACAATAAATCATTATGACTTGACCGTAAAATGAAAAATAATTACTACTCCCAGAATTTGTATGTTATATATATGCAATAATGAAAAGCATCAAACCATAAAGACAAACGAGGAAAATCGCATGAAAATAAATAAAGGTTTGTAGCATAAATCAGATGTATTTATCTGGTTTTCCCTTTTCCAGAACATTTGAAAACTTACCTAGTCATCTTCTTCGTCAAACTGTTTAAAAAAAGCTGACGAATTGCTTGGTGTTGGGTCAACATTGGCCTGATTTTTGCTAAAATCAATAAATCAACTGGTCTAAGAATCTTACTAGAATCTAAGAATAGGCCTACAATGAAAATCCAAAAGTAATGATCGATGACGTCCGTGTTAAAAAAAGTTTGAAATTTGCAATTTAGGCAATCTTCAAGCTTTTCTCTGTCTTTTCCTCACTGTTTGTATTTGTGCATTTATTTTGACCATCCTTTTTGTTGGAGGTAATTATCAAATAAAGTAAATTGAACTAAATTGTAAAGTAAGATTAACATAATAAAACAAATTCGTCACCAAGTTACAGACACATGTTGTAAGAGCGGTTCAGCTTCTTAGCCTGAGGTCGTATTTCCCTCGCCGGCGGCTGCTGTGCATGTTTTCATTGTGTCAGCCGAATTTTGGTTTGACTCAAAAAACTAATTCACACAAATACTTGTTGTCAATAGTACTTTAGGATTATTCGTATATATCATGCCTAAGTATCGTATATATACCAGCTTGGAAAATTATATTAAATATCCTTTAATATTTGTTTTTCTAAATGAGAGTAAGCAAGTAAGAATTCAGTTTTACGACCTAATTATCGCTGCATTATGATTATTGCACTTATCAAAGTTAAAAAGGGTAGGATTTTTTTTAAAAATTTTATTTTGAAGCGAGGAAGTCACGTAACTAATGACGTTATCAGTAAACACGTCTATCACTTCAATCCTCCCTGCTTCAATGTATCAAAAGTATCACATGATTAAGGCAGGAGGGGTGTAACTTAGCTCCCTCCTGATTAAGGTAACCAATCAAAACTGCCAAATGCTTGAGAATCTTGTAAGGCAGCCAATCATATTGTTTGCTTGAATGCTTGACAATAACACTTATTGCTGTGTATGTCACAGCAAACCACACTCACCAACCTGTTAGCGTACTGTATACAACTACTGCCCTGAGCAAACCACACTCACCAACCTGTTAGCGTACTGTATAAAACTATAAAGTACAGTAATCTACAAGCAAAGAAGATGGCTTCACCGCAATACTCAGTGTAAGTGTTTTTTTTTTACATGTGTTTACAATTACGTCTTAACTTAATTTTATACATTTCTAACTTGCATTTTGTTTAATTGATTAAATAATGTTTGAAATGAATAGAAACTTCATTACAGTATACTGATTTTTTTTCTAGCGAACTTCTTGATGTCGTAAAATTGACATCGGTATTTCATTATTAGCCAAGAAATCATTCAAGAATTTATGTACAATGATTGTTTTTTTTTTTTATTATTTTCTGTTCCTTCTTTTAAATAACTTGAAGCATTATTAAAGCCTAATGATAGACTATAATAATGGTGATGCTAATAATCATTCAAACCACAGCACCTCCTGGATTCATAAGTTGACAAACCTTCCTCCGCTTCATTGAGGGCGTACAGTTGTCGGATGCACGGCATTGTGGACAGACAGCACATCAATGTTGTGTATAGTAGATTATAAAAAATTAATTTAATCAAAATGAATATGTTATAATCACTTACTGTAATATTTATCATGCATACATTTTGTTGGTTCACTGATATTACAGTATAACTGATTTATTAACTATTTTAGTAAAGTAGAGTAACTTTGTTTTCTTTTGTCACCGCAGTGACAGCTTATCCAAAGCTGTAATTGACGAAAAATGGGATGAAGTAAGAAACATTATCAGAGCCGCTCCTGAACTCGTAAATGAGAAAGTGGTATGTAATGTATACAGTACTCAAATATAGTTCAACATCATTTAATTCAAAGGATAATTACAACAAATTGTAATATTAATTATATTATTAATAAAAGCACCTTTCTTGCAAATATAAGCTCATCATGCAATGTCACCATTAAAGACATTATTAGAGCGAAATAAGAATGACACTGAAACAAAAACTCATAAATGTATAATTTAATCAATATTTAATATTGTGCCCAAAAAAAACTTTTTAAAAAAAATCTTTAAAAACCTTTTTTAAAATTAACACAAACATATCAACCTGAACATATAAATTAATGTATTTAAAAATGTTTACAGATAATTTTACAGCGAAAATTACAGAAACACAAAGCACAGGAATTGTGTATTATTTGTATTGTAATTATCAAGTCAAGTTAAAAATAGCAGGGTACAAACTTAATAACTTCATAATTGTTATGCTCAAATTAATAATTTGTATATCACTGCAAAATTAGCAAATTGATTTCAAATTTTATTTTAAATGATTTGTTTGTCATTTTTAGAGGGCGATACATCTTTAAGGACTAGGCGTACATAGCACACTGTTACCAAGTTTAAAAATCAAATTATTTGTTATAATTACCAGTGTGCTTATCTAGCATACCGGTCAAAAGATACTTGGTAGCGTTGCTTAATCCTATCAAATAGTGTTACATATTCCTTATTATTTCTCACTAAATGTTAATCAATTCAGTCAATAATGTATTTACAATAGAAAGTTAATGGCAATGGATTAATATTTGAATTATTGTATGAACTTCGATTGTGTGACTCTTCTAGCACCGAAACTCTCTGACCTTGCTCTGACAACAAAATATTTAAGTCTAGCGCCCTCTTTAGTGTAAAATCTACCTATTTTAAAAACCTCATTAAGATACTTGATATTGCTTACCGTATTTAATGACTACTTATAGTCTAAATAATGTTGTTTAAAACTATTATGTTGAATTTGATTATTCAGTAATTTTCTTTTGTATAACTTAAAACTCCGCCTTAAATTTATTCATTTGCGCTTATTAATAATAAAATTCATTGCACTTGTTCACTCCTGCTAGAAATTGCTTGTAAGCAATTGTTACACTGAAGATGGCAGTTATACTGAAGAAACATGTTGTATCCAGTTTAGCCTAAATGGTTGAAATCGCTTGTGATTATTAAGACGTTTTTGTTGTTGTAATCATTCAAAACTTTTGTCTAGTCTCATTATTGACTTTTTTTGTTTAAAAATAACAACAATGACGACGACGACGATGATAATAAATGATATTGATAATAATTTGATAGATTGATCATAATACTATAATACAAATAATATTAATAATGTTATATAATGATAATGATAATAAACAGTAGAGAAATTCCGGTAATTAAAGTTCTTATTACAAGACACTAATATCAATCTTTTTGTTAACATTTCGAGAGTCATCTTAGATAACATCAACAATTTTAATTTGTGCTTTTTGGTTTTAGGTTTGGTTTTTCTCCTGTTTTCCGTATATCTATGTTATATCAAATAATGAATCAAAATCATACCAAATTAGACCTTACACAATGATACAATTATACAATTAATTAATCATCATTAATTAATTACCGTAATTAATTATCATTGATGCAATGATACAGTTGTAAAATGTCCATCACCAGAGTCTTCTCCCCCTGCACCAGCCACCAGCGGTTTCACCCTATGACCCCTGGCCATGGCCCATGCGCAGCTGAACCATTCACTCACAAACGTAGGTACAGTAAGAGCCTATTCTTTATGCCATTATGCCGACTTCTTGAGTATCGCTACTGAAGTTATTGTGTGCTCATGGTCAGTTTGTTATTTTTTATTTATTTTACAGTTACTTAACTTTATTTACCAACGGTAAGCAATTACTAACAATCATGGGGCCCTCGCATAAAAAACAACAAACATAAACGACAAAGCAAAGTTAAAAAATAAAAAGCATATAATGATAAAACAATTATTGGAATAATAAAATTCAATAAAGAGTAAGTGTATATATAAATAGAATAAATATGGAATATGTATATACATAGTTAAAAGCATTATATGTTACGGTGACCTTCAAGGACATTTCCATATGGACATTTTTTTTTTGGGATGTAAGATATTCTTAACATTGTTTTAAATAAGATTAGGGCCTACAGAGGACGCATTTCTAATTTCATGTTGTAGAGAAATATAAACATTTTGGAGATTTGTAGACAAAACTGTCGTTTGTGCATGGATTAGTGGTTGAAACGTCTTCAATCTTTTTGTGCTGTGTTATCATAAAAAAGAAAGTTATTGCAATGGGCCTATTCATCCAATAGTTTAGTAGTCATAATAATAATAATAATAATAATAGTTAAATAAAATTATTATTATTTTTATTATTATTATTATTATTATTAATTATTATTATCATTTTTAGTAGGAAATAGGTACATGATTTTTGTAGGAAGATAGAAAGATCTTATGGTACAAATAGCATCTGAACTAAAGATGGCGCTAGATAAGTATTTTCGGTTGTCGGAGAATCATCGAGGTATCTTAATTACTGTGAAAACAGTAACAAAAACAAAAATAATATTTTTTTCCTAATAGAACTAATTGAAAAAGAATCATATCAAAAGTTGCTATAATTGAATTAGGTTACATTACACAGAAGACTAGTAGTTACCCACCTGAGAGAATTGAAATGCGTGAGTGACTGCTTCGACGATCTGAGAATTTCTATTTTTTTCAGGTTTGTTGAGTGTTTGTTGACAATAGCAGGTACATCAACAAAAATATTTTTAATAAGCCACGTAGGCCTACAATTTGCGTTTCACTTTATGTTTAATTGCAGCACCCTAATTATGTACACAAACATATCATTAGGCCTACTTAAACAATCAAGAAATGAATTGGATACTAATCATTTTTAGTAACTTGTCAGTGAATTAATGTATTCACGTACTTTTGTACTTACAACTGTGTGAGTTTGATGCTGTCAACTGCGCTCTCTAACCATTTTGTATATCTTAAATCTCATTAAACCAATTTCTTCTAATTTTAAATACATTTTCCCTGGATTCGTGATAATTCGGTATACGCATGGACAGCTAAATGCGTGACAAATTGATGATCTCGCGTGTTTCTTTAAAATGCGTGTTTCATCTAAAATCAATTTGAAATGAGAGACTGTTGGTAACAATTCAAAAGATGTCAACCATTTTAATTTTAGCAAAATCAAAACTATAAGTATTGATGAAATCTTAGTATACTGGATTGACCATATTCGCCAATTAAATAAGAATATTTGGTATAGCATATTTTTTTTTTTTATTAATCACTCTTTTAAATATTCTTTATAACATTACAAACCTACCATGTATGGACTATGCCTATGGCTTTTGAATTATTTATTTGAAGGGCCAAAAGTGTTGATAAGTTCCGAGTTGTAAGCAACTTATTATACTTTATGAAAGTAATCTGCTTGCCGGAAAGACCATTGGAAATTTCACAATTTCAAATGCTATTATTTTCATTTGTACTACAATACATTATTACGACAATTATGGGATTAATCTAATGCTTTACTTCCTGCTTATGAGTTTATTTCCTCCTTATGTAAAATCATCACAAAACGAAAGTGATGGAGCCTAGATTTGCTCGATGGCAGGGGAGGGGCAATGATCCAAAACCTCTGGAGGATCCCATAGGGCGCCCTTAGGCCCGTAAGCTTTGACAATTGAGAGATTTTTTTTTAATGCTTAAGGTCCGTAATCGATTGCACAGCCTCATATTCTGTAAAAGCATATGAAGAAATATTTTCGATTTTAAAAATTACTATTGTTTGATTGATTCATACAAAATAACTAGAGACTTCTTCATGAACGTTATGATTTCGACAAAAGAATTGATTGATATTGTGTTTATAATTGTCCTAAATGGGTCTAATTAGGCCTAAAGTAGAGAGATATGTTTCTCTGTCAAGTTACACAAAAACCATCAATCTAAAACCAGACCTACTAATATATAATTGTTAACCACGAAATATTTAATATCAGTTATCATGCCTTTATCAATTGTTAAATGTGAAGTTAATATGGGGACAATTTGTGAATGTGAAGTCTTACATGGAAGCATTATTCTGGATCGCGAGAAAATTTAACTTAAACATATGTTCGCTTAGTGTCCCCACTTAATTTGGTTCAAAACACGGCCAATGAATGAATGAATCAATCATCAATCAAATTACTGGATCAACTTTGATACGGTAGCACTCATACAAAATGCATGGTGCATAGTACATGATTAAGGAAACATACAAAAATAAAATATGCCTACATTAAATTACTAGCTATGGGTTTGGTTTCATAGTTAATTTCATCTCTGATAACCAAAAATACTAGTCTAGTGCCCTCTTTAGTTTCGATGTTTTTGGTTGACTCCGAAAAACAACTGTAGGCCTACAATTATATCATACCTCCGCCGTTATATTGTCGTCTGTACCGTGTAATTATTAACGAAATATTGTATGTTATCATATTGTCGTTAAATACTTTTTGAGTTTTTAATTAAAAAAATAAAATATCAAATGCAAAACAAAATTTTTATTCCAAAACAAAATTAATAATAGTGTAGGCTTATTTATCCAATGATAAAGAATAGACAAATTTTGTCTGAAGTTTGTATAAAATTCTTTGTAATTTGTTTAATTAGTTAATATAATATATAAGTCTTTGTATTTGTTATAAAACTCTAATCACGAGGAAGGCAATTACGATGCTTAAAATATAAATTTCAAAAAAAGTATGAATCCGAACAGAGATTGGCAGCCCATGCCCTATAATATTCAATGATAATGAATAGGCAAATTTTGTCTGAGAATAGTATAGGTTTAAAGCTTGGTAAAATCGTTAATTAGTCGTTAAAACATATATGTGTTTGGATTGGTTTTAAATCTCTACTCAAGAGAAAGTCAAATATGATCTTAAAAATTTAGCCTTTCAAAAAAAATATGGTTCCAAACAGATGGGCCTACAGAATTTATATCTAATGATAAAGAATAGGCAAATTTTGTCTGAAAGTAGTATAGGTTGAAAGCTTGGTAAAATCGTTAATTAGTCGTTAAAACATATATGTGTTTGGATTAGTTTTAAATCTCTACTCAAGAGAAAGTCAAATATGATCTTAAAAATTTAGCTTTTCAAAAAAAAAATGATTCCAAACTGATGGGCCTACAGAATTTATGTATCTAATGATAAAGAATAGGATGTTTATGTAATACAATTAACTTGTTTGGCGTTAGTGCGTATTATCTATAGTAGTAGCATTATTATCAATGAATTTCTCCATGTAGCCTAAATGCTGTGTGATAATGGCATTAAAAAAATTCTTGTGTTGGCCACGTTTTGGCAAAATCTTTAAAAAAAAATGGGTAGTTCGGTAGGATTTTTTTTTTTTTTTTTGACCGATAATGTGTTTATGCCTAAAAAGTAGAAAATATATTAAAAATACAACAAACACGATTTTAAAAATCTATATTGAAGAGCAAAATAATCGCATAACACTGTCGCATCGCCTACCGTTGCAAGATAAGCTTATTCCACCCTTTTTAGCTCATTGAAAATATTTTTCGTTGTAGTAAATAATAAAATAAAATAAAATGATGACCCTCAATTTTCAAACATTTTGGTTCGGTTGGCTTTAACCAACACAATAACTTTCTTTATTTGGCCTAATTTCCTATGATGACAAATGCAGCAATAAAATAAATTGAATAGAATGGAATAATCATCATAAAGGACATTTTTAGTATAACATGATAGTACTTTTAAATTATTGTATTGAATGAAAATTGTAATGAAAAATGTATTTTATGCGAAGTACAAGTTGGTTATATTTACCTGAATTTTAACTGTAATGCTTTAGATTGCATCATTTTTCTTGTTTACAGAGGTGTTGACTATGTCTGGATTATTATTCACATTTTTCTTTCAATTATTTGTATGGTTATGAGCTCTCAGTGATTAACACTGTTTTCAACTGTGTTACAGAACGGCGATACTCCACTTCACTGGTTGTTACGAGCTGACCATTCATACCGAGATCACACAGATGCAACACGTTATTTATTAACGTATGGAGGAAATGCCAAGTTAAAAAATAGGGTAAAGTAGATAAATGACGAAGATTATTATTATTATTATTATTATTATTATTGTTATTAATAATAATAATAATAATTCATTATTATTATTATTATTATTATTATTATTATTATGAATATTTTGATAATAATGATGGTGATAAGGAGCATACTAAAATGATTGATGACAACCATAATGTCGATATGGTAGTGGCGACTAATGATAATAGGATTTTGGCCTATAAACTCTGGCGAAATGTTTATTCATGATCGTTGTAACAACAATTGATTTTCGTCAGCGTTTTATTGTTAACATGAATCAAGATGCAAATGTAGAATTAAAGATTAATTAAATTGATATGTAAATTTATTCAATTCAGTTGTAATTTTTTTTGTTTGTGTAACATTTGTTGAAGCTTTAATGTAATTGTATTTCTTGATTAATATTAATTAATTTCATGAGGTATGATATGTGATTGTCGTTGCAGCGTGGTCAAACTCCAGCTGACGTGTATGTGGATAACGAATGTAGGAAATACGATTCTAGAAACAGAGAAGAACAGAAAGAAATGCTCATGCGTCTCTTACAAAGTGAGCTGTTCATACCAACATAATTCATATTTAATTAGTTGTTTTTGTTTTATATGAATCATTTTGAAATTCATAGTAGTATATTTATTCGCATTGTGTATATTTAGTATGAAATTCATGAAACACCAAATGTACATTAATTTTTGTGTCATCTATTTTTGCTATTGTATTTATGTGTATCGTACAGTGTATGTTATGTACTGTACTTACGTTTAAACACAGTAAATAAGAAACCCAATATTAGTGGTATTATATACAGTATTTTGATTAGTGATCCAGGCAGCTGTTGGTCTGTCTCTTATACACATCTAGATGTGTATAAGAGACAGGCGCTGCACTGGGTAATAAAAAGAATATACAA